ACCTGGACCTTCAATGTTCGTTGGTCACAGGTCACATGAACATATGGGACAACAGCATACATGGAGCAAGATCACAAACAAAGAACTGAGGCGGAAATGTTCCTTACTGGCAAACTTCATCAAAAGAAGAAGAAACAGATGCATTGTGACAGTTTGGAGAGCTATCCGCTGGATGGCAGATGGTGAAAGAAGACATCGACGAACTTAGGAAACTGGAGAAGGACAGTTAGACAGGGAAAGGAATAATTGAAAAATTGCATTGGCCACTATGGGCATGAAAGAAGCAGACTAGCAGAAACGGAGATAACTTTTGACTGCTGAATGTGTCAGCACCGATATCAAGAAAATTTCCTCTTTTCAACAACTCTCATTTCTTCTTCTTTTTAGCGTTGACCGGCTGTAGACTCCGGCGAAATATTCTGGTTGCTCAGTCATTTCTGGACTTTGCTCTTGCTCGAGAACTGGCGTTGTGCGTGCATGACAATGTTACAGATCTGAATTATTTGTATGCAGTCTGCTGGTCCCTCGCCTATCAAGCAGATGCACTCCGATTTATAAGAAAACATCCTTTATTATTCGCCTTATACAACTTGCTTGTTAGGCAGGCAGTTACTCTCCCCTTTTTGTTTTCTTTCATAAATGAGGCCAGGGAACCCACACGGGAAGAATACAGATTGGTTGGCATATACTGAAGACGCTTTAGAACCCGACAAAGGATCGTTTTACTTCTCTAACTCCCTGTCTTGGAGCAGACAGGTTAATCATCGAAGAGGACGTTGGTATTGTCAGATACAAATACACCCGGATGTGAGGTCAGTTATCTAGACGAAACATCTTCATTCAGGAGCCACGGTCAGATAACAGGTAACTACAATATATAACGTAGATGTAACTGCAAGTTCCTGTGGAGCAGATGATCAAAGTGTGGAACCAGGTAATTTCCCTTGTCTTATCTGGCAGATCAAATCTTTTACTCTGAACTGTGGAAGACAGTGTCTGGAAGATAGTGTCTATGAGATTACAATTATTAGACCCTGACATGAATGATGCAGGCATTGAAGTGGAATCGTGGGAATAAAATGCCCAGACCGGGTTGTGTGGAGGCAGGGATTGAGAATGAATAAAGAAATTACTGCAGAAAGGATGAGAGCTGAGCGTCTGAGAAGAAACAGACTAAACTCAAATGTTGACACAAGCGATCCTGAAATCCCACACTATAATTGAGGAAGACTTTTCTTAACGCGGGCTGGTCTTGCTAGTCACACTCGCCATCGCCCTGGGCTGTGAGTCCCATACCTCCTCATTGCGCAGTATAACCCTATCGTCTGGAAAGACGGAAAGGTGCCAATCAGACGGTGTCTAGGTGAAAACAGGTTTTTGGTACTGAAAGAAGAATTAACAATGCTTCATAGAACAATCTTCATCGTGTCAAGTTCTACTGCTGACTGGGTTATTCTGTTTGTAACTTCTGTTGTGCTTCTTGTATATTATTTTGTTCAAACCCCCACATTCTGGGAAAGTGGTTGGTTGGCATCTTTCCGTTCTTTTGTGGGCGATAGTTTTGTGTTATAGAGAGGCACTGAAAACATTCCAGCTATGTAATTACAAGAAACGCCCACAGTTTCATAGCCGAGAAGCCTGAGCAGTTTTACAGAACTCATGAACTGCCCAATATCATAACCTCTCTTTCAACGTGCTTCATTTATGCAAAAAAAAGGTAACGTACCAATACGTTTAGAACGAAGCACGATGCAGAAGCATCTTAGGAATGAGAGGCTAGAGTGTACTAATTTCCGTTTATGCTGGCTGGATTTGTAAATCACAGTATGGTTGCCTTTATACTGTAAAGACTAAATGACCCTTTCCAATGACTCATAATTTATTGACCAATCGGCACTTATAGGGTGATGATGCCAGCATCATGCCGGCCGCATTTACTTACTAGGACTTCTCCTGGTACCATCTCAAGGCTGGGTCATCCTGGGAGCCAAGGTCATTGTTGAGAAACATCCGGTACTGCCGGGAGCTAAACCCACGATAGGATTACACTTTTATTGTATGGACCAATCGGCACTTAGTTGATGATCTGGTCAGCATTACACCGGCCACCTTTACTTTCCATGATTTTACCTGGTACTCACTGAAGGATGGGTCGATCTCTTTTTTTTTCTTTAAAGTCCAGTGACGCCATTAACGGCGCTTCGATAGAATCAATCACTGCTAATTTGTGTCAATACCTTTATGTGCTGTAAGGGGGTACATTGACAGGAATCTTTGAAACAACTGGTGAAGCTAATCCAGTCCACGAAAGTCACGCCCTGACACGTGTAGGGCAGCAGCTCACACCTGGCTGGTGAAGCTGTTACAGGTGCCCTAACCCTTTGGAGACGGAGCCTTACTTTGTGTTTTAGTGCCGAGAAGACACGACTCTCTAGGAGGAAAAAGGGAAGCGGGGGAAAAAAAGGGGGGGGGGATTATTCTATTAATTTACAAACACAAAAGTACTATTATAAAAATAAAGATGATTAATTAACATATTTAAAACTGTATATATGTCATCCTTTTTCGGCCATGTTATGAGAAGAGGGAAAATAGAATATGTTGTGACCACTGGAAAGATAATGTGGAAAGAGGGATAGAGGAAGACAACGAAAGAAGATTCTTGACAGTCTTGTTGCATGACATGGAGGTGTGTCGGTACACGAACTGATACATGCTGCAGCAGATCGTGGATTATGGAGAGGCATGATCGCTCACACCAGTCGGCAAGGCACATGATGATGATGATGATAATATGTACTTGTAGGAAAGTGAATGAACACAATCTTTATGAATCGTACTGACATCTTAACATTTACTTCAATTAAGCTATCCTGATTTGCATATTTATGCATGCATTTAAATATTTGTTTTTTAACTTAGGACAAACGACTAAACTGAACAATCTGGATTAATATTCTGATGAATAATTCTTGAACAATTCCTAACATCTCTGGCACATGGTTCTACTCCATTTCCTGCCTCCTGCTATGTTTTGGTTGCTACTCGATGTTAAATTATTGAATACAACAAACTTATGAAAGCCGCCATTGAGCAGCCCGTATATGAAATAAATTAGAAAAGCACTCTGATTGGATGTTAAGAAGATCAGTCAGCCTAACTCAAGTCTTGCATTACCGGGTCGACGGATCGACAAAGCCGTCATTTTGACTATTGGCTAATTGGCCCACTGATCGGGCCAGTCGTTTCTAAATTACAACCGCTTTGGAAGGTGAATGAGGTATCTTTGATTTACTATGCTGTTCTGTGGACCGGACTGAGATTATCTAATCTCTGGGATGGTACAAACCGATCGATCGATTAAACCAGTCTTAACATATGCCAAGATGAAACCGGATGCCTTGACCGAAGGTCCCAACAATGCAATATATCGGATGACCCCCCCCCCCCCCCCCCCCCCAAAAAAAAAAGTAGAAGAAGAAGGGAAACCTTAGCTATGGTATGTTCTCACAATCGGCGTCTTTGCGCATTCGGCATCCCCATAGGTGCTCTGTCCCCGTATGCAGAAGACACTCCATGGTGCCTCTACTGACTGTTTCCATAAGGAGTTGGTTCTAGTATTTTTTGTCTTGACATAGAAGACGGCGTAAAAGTACATTATCAAGCTAAGCACCTAGGTTACGCAATCGTATTAGCGCAGTTGGAGGACAAGAAAAAGATCCTGATAATAAGGATGAAAAAGAAGAGGAAGAAGAAGAAGAAGAAGAAGAAGAAGAAGCAGATAGAAGAAGAAGAAGAAGAGAAGAAGAAGAAGAAGAAGAAGAAAGAAGAAGAAGAAGAAGAAGAAGAAGAAGAAGAAGAGAAGAAGAAGAAGAAGAACGAAGAAGAAGAAGAAAAGAAGATACGAAGAAGAAGAAGAAAGAAAAAGAAGAAGAAGAAGAAGAAGAAGGAAGAGAAGATGAAAAAAAGAAGAAGACGAAGAGAAGAAAGAGAAGACGGAGAAGAAGAAGAAGAAGAAGAAGAAGAGAAGAAGAAGAAGAAGAAGAAGAAGAAGAAGAAAATAGTGATGATAACGATCCTAGCATAAGATGATGATGAAGAAGAGGACGATAAATACGACAATAGCGAGTATGACGACGACAGCGACGAAGATGATGATGATAAAGGAAAGGAAACGAATCTCTAAAAAGCAAACAAAACTTCAGCAAGACTAACCCCTGTCTCGGCTGTGTGACCTCTCTAAAGAGTTAATTCCGCTCGTTTCTTTGTTCTCTGCCTGCAGGTAAAATTGGAGCCGGGAGAAATCATGTCTCCACAGGACACCAGCCAAAATGGCAACTTTCAGCGCTGCCGTGCCAGGCCTGGAAATCAGCTGTGGTTATCTCCACTTATATCCCAGTTGTGTCTGTAAACAACATGACTCCTTCGTTGTTTACTCCAAGGTAAAATACAATCTGTTTTAGCATCGTTGCATTTTTAAAAATACAAAAGTAACGATTTGAAGTAATAGTAGAGGTGGTAGTAGTTATAGTAGTTGTGGCAGCAGTAGTGGTTGTGGTGGTGGTAATAGTAGTAGTGGTGGTAGTGGTTGTGGTGGTAGTAGTAGTGATGGTTGTGGCAGTAGTAGTGGTGGTGGTGTTGGCGGTAGTAGTTGCAGTAGAAGTAGCAGCAGCATCTAGAACAGCTACAGTACTAAGTACAGTTAAAGTTATAGTACAAGTAGTGGTAGTTCCCCGTGTGGGTTCCAGAATCCCATTACTAAGAAAACAAGACCAGACCAACTGCCTCCCCAACACGCATGTCGTATAAGTCGACTGATTGGGGGCTTCCTTTGGAATCTGTGTTTATCTGCCTGACAGGCAAGGAAGCAACAATCTATATACACGTAAGTCAGATCTGTAGAACGGGTGTGCATAAAATACTCAGATTCTGGAACTAGGCTAAAGTACAGAGCCGAACGAACAGTCAACAAACCTGAAATCAATGAGACAGCCACTTACCAGATTTGCCAACATGTTTAGCTCCAAGGACAGCAATGTTGATGTCCCGACAGCAGCCATTGAGTTTATGCCCTCTGTCCTCCATGATGGACCATGTTGTCACGTGACACACTGAAACGGAAACCCGCAGATGGCGGCAACAAACCTCGAGCAAGTCAAATCCAGATCCCAATAAATGTCCCACCTCTTCACAGCCTAGACAAACATTACTTTCCAAGTGTTTCTTAAACTATTTCGCAGGTAAAAAGCTAATTTGCAGTTCGATTCTTTGCGTGTGCTAAATATTTCTGTAACAAATTATTATTGGAGACTATCCGAGGTCACTAGTACTCCGTATCCACTTCCTGGTGTCTCAATCTGGTATACGAACAAATAGAGTCGTATGTACAGAATTGGATCCGTCTTTCAACCAGGCCTTTTCCCTTTAAGATATCCTATGATGTGTTCTGAAATAAAGCAGATATTGTCATTAGGGTGTTTCTATACAGTTGAATTAGTAAATGTTAATGTGAGATATACACTGATCGTTCTTGCATTGTTTCTGTATCCGTCATGTATTGTTCTTGTATCGTTCTCGTATTGTTCTTGTATAGTTTTTCTATTGTTCCGAGCAGTGTTGGCTTATGTCTATATATCATATTGGATTGCTTGTTTGTTTTTTTCTACTTGTGTGTCTCACTCACTATCCTCCCCGACACTCATTCACGCTCTCTCTCTCTTTCTTTCTCTCTCTCTCTCTCTCTCTCTCTCTCTCTCTCTCTCTCTCTCTCTCTCTCTCTCTCTCTCCAACTTCTATCCTATTAAACTTCAAAGGAACACTACCAGACACAAAGCTCTAGAGAGACTTGAATCCGTCTGCGAGCACCTGCAGCTCTCATTAACTGCGTCCACCATGTTTATGCACGCACAGTCATAAAAACGCTCACACACACGCGCGCGCACACAGACACATACATTCGCATACAAATACACGCCCGCGTACGCACATTAAAGAACACCCGCCAACACAACATTCCTATAAATAAACAGAGGGGGGACCTTTGAGGCCGGTAAATATTATGAATTAATCAAGTAACAGAAAGTGTATTGATCGGCACTCATAGAAAGAAGTAGAAAAATAGAAGAACACACTAGACAACATAAAAATCGAGCGCTATAGTTACCGTGCCGGGAATTGAACCTGTCACCTCCAGACGTCGTCTGCGCCTTGCCATGAATACAAGTGCACTAAGATCATGGTCAACTAGGAACCCCCCCCCCCCTCCGCCCCCCAAAAGTGTCTAATTGGATATGTCTATCGTACAGCTTGAAATCCACAACTATGGAATACGAACATAATTCATTTCAACCCTTGAAATGGCACCATAGGTTACAGAAATTTATATTAACGAAGCATATGTCGAATAACAATCACAGCAACAATTTACTAACACAGTAGACCTTATTGCTTTGTCTAAAATACACACAAATTTAAGAAAGGTATTTGATTGGTAGGTTCCGGTGTGTATACGTCATTCCTATAAAGAAACAGAAGGTGAACCTTTGAGGCCGTTAAATATTATGAATTAATCAAGTAACAGAAAGTGTATTGATCGGCACTCATAGAAAGAATTAGAAAGATAGAAGAACACACTAGACAACATAAAAATCGAAAGCTGTAGTTTCCGTGCCGGGAATTGAACCTATCCCCTCCAGACGGCGTCTGCGCCTCGCCATTAATACAAGTACACTAAGAACATGGTCAACTAGGGACCCTCCCCCCCCCCCCTCCCAAAAAAAGGTGTCTTATTTGCCATGTCTACCGTACAGCTTGAAATCCACAACTATGGAATACGGACAGAATTCATTTCAACCCTTAAAATGGCCCCATAGGTTACATAAATTTATATTAACGAAGCATATGTCGAATAACAATCACAGCAACAATTTACGAACACAGTAGACCTGATTGCTTTGTATAGAATACACAAACATTTAAGAAAGGTATTTGATTGGTAGGTTTCGGTGTGTATACGTCATTCCTATAAATAAACAGAGGGGGAACCTTTGAGGCCGTTAAATATTATGAATTAATCAAGTAACAGAAAATGTATTGATCGGCACTCATAGAAAGAAGTAGAACGATAGAAGAACACACTAGACAACATAAAAATCGAAAGCTGTAGTTACCGTGCCGGGAATTGAACCTGTCACCTCCAGACGGCATCTGCGCCTTGCCATGAAAACAAGTTGCACTAAGAACATGGTCAACTGGGCACCCTTAATTAATTCATAATATTTAACGGCCTCAAAGGCCTAGCTAGGGGTACCTAGCTAACACAACAGAAAGCCCTCTGCGGACAAACTCAATCCCCAGGGTTCTATACCTTGTACAAAATATAAAGAATTACGCAACTGCAGATCATAACCTGGAAGCCAAGATGAAGCACTTGCTAGCCGTTTTCCCGTCAGTCCGGCTCCGTTCTCCCGTCAGTCCGGCTCCGTTTTCCCGTCAGTCCGGCTCCGTTTTGCCGGTAGTCTTGCTCTGTTTTGTCGTCAGCCCGGCTCCGTTTTGCCATCAGTCCGGCTCGGTTTTGTCGTCAGCCCAGCTCCGTTTTGCCGTCAGTCTGGCCCTGTTTTGCCCTCGGCCCGGCTCTCATAGGCTGAAATCCGTTTTCAAGGAGAATGTTTGAATCCGTGGTCAAGTTTGCTGCCGGGAAAAGTTGTGGTAGTTAGAGAAGCCAAACTTGATACTGAGGAAATGTTGTGTTAGACAAAAACGACGAAACTTGATATCAAAGGAAATGTTGTGTTAGACAAGGACTGCCAAACCTGATATCGAAGATATGTTGTGTTGGACAAGAACGGCCAAACTAGATATCGAAGGAATGTTGTGTTAGACAAAGACGGCCAAACTTGATATCAAAGATATGATGTGTTAGACAAAGACCGCCAAACTTTATGATGAAGAAATGTTCTGTCAGACAAATTTGACCAAACTTGAAAATGAAAGAAATATTCTGCTAGACAAAAACCGCCAAACTTGATATCGAGGAAATGCAGTGGTAAATAAGCACGGCACTTTATTAGCTCTGAATTTGGTAAAAAGAATCTGCTGGCTAGTCTAGAACTCTTTGGAAACGACCCCATCCAGGATACTCACCACAAAGTGTCTAAAATAGGCGCGGGTACTCACCACAAGGTGTCTAAAATAGGTGCGGGTACGCAACACAAAGTGTCTAAAATAGGTGCGGGTGCTCACCACAAAGTGTCTAAAATAGATGAGGGTACTCAACACAAAGTGTCTAAAAAAAGGTGTGGGTACTCACCCCCAAAGTGTCTAAAAAAAGGTGCGGGTACTCACCACAAAGCGTCTGTCTACTAATGTAGCGCTGAAAACGTTACGCCTAACAAAAGGTGCCGATACTGGATAACGCCAGAGAGGAAAAAGAAGACCTGACTCCACCCCTTTTTGTACTCTGACCCGTGAATCTTGTGGTCTTCTTCTGGCAGCAGCACAGCTAGCCTAGTTTCAGCAACCACTGGTATGTTCATGTGAATGGAGCCGTGATTGTTGGCGCTGATTGTGCTCTCGCTTGCAAAGATTTGTCGAAAATGACAAGACTAACGAATTCTCCTGCGTCATTCTGCATTGTTGAATGTGTTCATGTACTCGCAGTCCTGAAGTATTCTAAAACTAGTCATAAACAATTTAAAGACAAAATAAACACGCACGCGCGTACGTATACACACACACGCATACACACTGAGAGAGAGAGAGAGAGAGAGAGAGAGAGAGAGAGAGAGAGAGAGAGAGAGGGAGAGAGAGAGAGAGAGAGAGAGAGAGAGAGAGAGAAAGAGAGAGAGAATAAAGTGTCTGGAAAACATCGGTTAAAAAAAAAAGGCATACATATGAACATATTTCTTGGTATTATGAGAGTCAAAGGTTAAACTTGGTAAAATAGGTCAATCTTATCGTACTCCGGGAGTGAAGGTGAAGATAACAGGACCAAGTGTTTCCCATAGGCCAGGCGGGTCCGGAGGGAGCATTGGTTTACGTGTAACACCTGCGAACTTAACTTCTCATAAACAGAAATCTCTACCGTCACGAGTTATCTAGTCTGAGCATTATACCCGACGATGAACCAACGACTTGCCGAGCCGGAAAATAAATTTAAGTGGACAACGTGCAATAACAATTTAAAACAAGAACAGACAAACGACACGCTGAAACAAACAAGCGCCCAGCAGACAAAAAAGAAACTTTTTATTTCTTCCAATTTCATTTTTCTTGGTGTTTGCTCTTTTTTTGCCAGAATTGCTTTCTTTGTATGTCTTCTTTAGTGCCGAGATATGTTAGAGTCGGAAACTTGATGTCTTGCATTCTTTATTCTACTGTTTGTCTGATATAAGGACAAGACTTATTTGTTGCCTTGGCGTCAGTGGCTTAGGCGTTGGGAACCCGATTCGTTATGCCGGGGGGCCGGGTTCGATCTCACCTGCTAGCCTTGCTCCTTGCGTTGGTTTCAACTCTGGTATCGAAAAACTACTAGACTTTAATTTGCCTAGAAAAACCACAATAACCAAAAACTTCTGGGTTATTTGTTGCTAACTGTAGCTGGGGGAACCGATCCGAGATGAAGAATTCTCATTCAATAACTTCTGGAAATTGAAGAAAACTGAGCCATAAACAGTATCATATCCCTGAAACTAAAGTATACTTACCTTATCAGATGTCATAGATCAATGAAACCTCGGGTCATGAACACCTCTAGTCATGAATAAATCAGCACACGAACATAATTTTCTGAACAAGTTTTGACTCGACCCGCGAACAATGCTTCGGTTTACGGGGTGAAGAACAAACATGGCCTCGCGTCATGTTTTCGGGTGAACGGCATCAGTTTGACTCAAACGCGCATGCTGTGAAGATTTGGGTTGAGTTGTTCTTCAAACAATTTTTTGTTGTTGTTCAGTTGTTCTTGATACAAGTTGTTGTTGTTGAATTGTTCTTGATACAAGTTGTTATTGTGTTGTTCCTGTTACAAGTTGTTGTTGTTGCGTTGTTCTTGATACAAGTTGTAACTGTTGCGTTGTTCTTGATGC